AAACCATTATTATATGAAATATTAAAAGGACTTATTTAAGAAAAAGGATCAAAACTTGAATAATAAAATGGCAATAAACACATACCTATCAACAATTGAATCTAAAAAACAAACTAAGCAAGCAAAAAGAACAGACAGAACCATGGATATGGAGAGTATTTTGATGTTTGCCAGATGGGAGGAAGGGGGAACCAGGGAATGGGTAAAGAGGTGAAGGGATTGAGAAGAACAAACAGGTGGTTTCAGAATAGCCATGGGGATATAAACTACAACATAGGAAATGGAGTAGCCAGCGAATTTATACTCATGACCCACGGACATGAACAAAGGCGGTAGGGGGGGATTGCCTGAGGGGAGTGGGGAGTGCTGGTGGGGCAGGGGACAAAGGAGGAAAAATTGGGAAAACTGTAACAGCCCAGTCAATAAAATATTTTTAATAAAGAGAGATTTAGTTCAAGGGAGTGGCTCATGCAGTTGTGTGAGCTGACCTGTCCAAAATGTGTAGGGCAGGCTAGCAGGCCTCTGCTAAATCTTTGGCAGAAGTTGACATCACAATACTGGTGTTATTTTTTCTTCCTCAAGGAATCCTTGATTTTGCTTTTAAGGCCTTAACTTGATTGGGTGAAGCCTACCAAGAATAGTGAGAATAATCCCCTTTATTTAAAATTCACCTGGCCCCGGCCAGTGGTGGCTCAACTGGCTGGAGCATCGCCTGTGGGTTAGAGTCCTGGTCAGGGTACGTGCCTAGGTTGTGGATTTGTTCCCTGGTTGGGGCACCCATACAAGAGGCAACCAACTTAATTTCTCTAATGCAGATGTCTATCTCTTTCTATCTCCCTCCCTTCCCCTCTCTCTAAAAATCAATAAACATGTCCTTGAGTAAGGATAAAAAAAAGTCAGCAGGTTGTAAATGTTAACTGCATCTACAAAACACTTTCATAGCAACACCTAGATTAGCATTTGAATAACTAGGTACTGTAGTTCAGCCAAGTTGTTACATAAAACTAACTATCACAGCCCACCCCTTGTCAATTTGATACCTATAAACATTTCTCTAAACCATATTTAATCTCTAAATAATACAACAACAAAGTGATACTGCTGCCTAACACTAATAACTACTAATACATTTCTGTAGCTTCCACTCCTAAATATCCATTTTTAAAATGTATATAGAACAAAGAATATTAACACACTGTTTTAGGTGCTATGGGAGAAAGATACAAATTTAAAGGACACAATTCTTATTCTTGAGAAGCTAATATTACACTAGAGGAAAGAAGACATATCCAAATAACTATAATGTAATTTTTAAAAGGTAACTTTTTAAATACAAGGTAATTTTTGAGAACTGGTATTAAAAAAATAATGAATTCTTATGAATGTTGAGAAAGACTTCTTTATTAGTCTCCTAGAGCTCCTATATCAAAATACCACAGACTGGGTGGCTTAAACAGAAATTTCTCTTCTCACAGTCTGAAGGCTGGAAGTCCAAGATCACAGTGCCAGCAGGGTTGGGTCTGGTAAGGCCTCTCTTTCTGGAATGCAGATGGATTCCTTTTTGCTTTGTCCTCCCATGACCTTTGCTCCATGCAAAAGCATGTGCATGAGCACTCTTGATGTCTTTTCCTTTTTTTTAAAAGGATACCAGTCCTATAGAATTAGGGGCTCATGGCCTCACTTAACCTTAACTACCTCCATTTCTCCTTAAAGGTCTTGTCTGCAAATATAGACATATTGGGTTTAGGGCTTCAACATATTAACTTTGGAAAGACACAATTCAGTCCACAGCAGCTATCCTATGGCAGTACTATACAGTCTTGATTAATGTCACTTTGCACTACTTTGAAAACCAGGAAATATAAGGCCTTCACATTTGTTTATATATTTTTTTAAATTTTATCCTCATCCAAGGACATGTTTATTGATTTTAGAGAGGGAAAGAAATGGAGAGAGGGAGAGAAACATTGATCAGAACATTGATCAGTTGCCTCTCCCGTGCTCCCCTACCAGGACCGAACCGGCAACCTGGGTATGTGTCTTTACTGGGAATTGAACCCATGGCCTTTCAGTTTATGGGACAACACTCCAACCAAGTGAGTCATACTGGTCAGGGCAATTTTGTCTTTTAAACACAGTGTTTAGGATAATGTGGGGCCCTTGAATTTCCACACTAATATTAGGACTCACTTGTTCATTTCAACAAAAAGCGAACATCAGTTTTGAAGGGGACTGCACTAAATCTGCAGATTAATTTCAGAAATATTGTCATTTTTTTCAAAAGTAATCGTCCAAACCATAAATATGGGAGGTCTTCCCATTAAGACTTCTTTAATTTCCTTTAACAATATTGTAAAATTGTCAAGTCTTGTATTTAAAAGTTATTTCTAAACATTTTATTCTTTTTGATGCAATTGTAAATAAAATTATTTTATTTCACTTTGGATTGTTTATTGCTAGTGTATAAAAATACACTTGATTTTTGAGCATTTATCTTGTATCCTGCAAACTTGCTAACTCATTTATTCGTTCCAATAGTTTTTCGGTGCTCCTTAGAATTTTCTAAATACATGATCATGCTATTTATGATAGAAGTTGTTTCATTTCTTCCATGCCAGAAGAAATGGTGTTATGGTCATGTGTCATTTAATTTCTTTTCAAGAAAAGGCTTAGTGACCATATGATCTAAACCTTGCTTTATAGTAAAACATCTCGTACCTTTTAGGTTGATACAACTTTTTGATGCTCAAGGACTTTGTTCCCATGCCAATCTGGATTAATAAAGGCTGAAACTCTAGCCTTATTTATCAGTCTCCCTTCAAGTACACTGTGGTCACTGAGAAAAGAAAACTAAAAAGCTTTTGTTTTGTTTTGTATTTTACAACTCCATGGGAGAGTAGAAGGTAAGGTGCTGGAGAAGCTGAAAGCAAAGAAACAGAAAGGAAGTGGGTAGAGAGTAAGGTTCACATAATGAAATTATTAAGTCTTTCTTTTGGTTTGAAGGCTCCATCAAAATTCCTTCACAAAGATATGATTTAATATTGTGTACCTATGTTTTATTTAAGGTCAATTAGGTAACAATTTTATGAAGGATTCTTTGTGTCTTGCTGCTAAGTTATTATTAAAAATGTGCTCTGGGCCTTGGCCAGGTAGGCCAGTTGGTTATCCCAATATGACAATGTTGCGGGTCCACCATGGTTCAGGGTATACACAAGAATCAACCAATGAGCCCTGGCTGGTGTGTCTCAGTGGACTGAGCATGGGCCTGCAAACCATGGGTTCTGCAGTTCGATTCCCAGTCAGGGCACATCCCTAGGTTGCAGGCCAGGTCCCCAGTAGGGGGTGGGCAAGAGGCAACTACACATTGATGTTTCTCTCCCTCTATTTCTCCCTCTCTTCCTGTCTGTCTAAAAATAAAATAAATGAAATATTTTTTAAAAAAGGCACTAAAAAAAAAAGGAGAATCAATCAATGAATGCATAAATAAGTGGAACAACAAATTGGTGTTTCTCTCCTTTCCTCTCTCTCTCTCTCTAAAAAAGCCAATAAATAAAATTTTTAAAAAATGGGTCAGTTTTTTTTCTTATTGACTTGTGGAGGAAGAAAGAGAGAGAGAGAGAGCCAGAGAGAGAGAGAGAGAGAGAGAGAGAGAGACAGAAGCATTGATTTGTTATTCCACTTATTTATGTATCCTTTGGATGATTTTTGTATGTGCCTTGACCTGGGAAGGAAACCACAGTCTTGATGTATAGGGACAATGCTCTAACTGACTGAGCTACCCAGCCAGGACCTGCGTCAGCTTTTTCTTAAACTGGGCTTCAGGTCCCCACATCCAGGGATATACGAATAACATAAAATTTACCATTTTAACTATTTTTAAATGTATAGTTCAATGGCATGAAGTACATTAACATTGTTGTATAGACTTCAATTCTTACATCAGTATTTCTTAACTGGAATTTTCAAAAGCATTTGCTATGTTTCAAAAAAACTTTTCCATTTAAAAAGGGTTTGTATATTAGGAATCAATATTCTAGTAATAAATCCCTCTTACAATAAATGTTTTCTCTTGATAAATGAGTATTCTTTCTTAGATAATGCGAATGATATAGACCATTATGGTTTTCCCTTTTTTTACCTAGAAATGGAGAACACAATTCAGTGTTTAACTGCGGTAAGCATTCTTTATGTTCCCAGTATGTAGGTATTATCACCCCCACTTTACGGCGGTTCAAAGAAATGAAGAATATTCCACAATGTTACGAAGTGGTTCTGTTAGGATTCAAGTCTGGCTGAATCTAAAGCTCAGGCTCCTAACCATAAGGCACACTGCATCTTAAGCTGTACATTCCATTTTGCATTATTGATGGTTTTCAGAGATTCTTTGTGGGAGGACGCTCACTGCTGCCCCCAAAGAAGTGGAACCCTATTCTCTATCAAACTTGTTGCTTTTCCACCAAATCTCCTATCAAGCCCGCTCTCTTAGTGTCTGAGTCGTAGTCCACCCTCCGACTCTAGTCCCTCGAGGAACCTATCAGCTCAGACCTAGTGTCTCAAGAGGTCCCCTCTCCTTTACACCTTGGCAACCACAGCAGAAAACAGTCCTATAACAACCTCGGTCCTCAGCAGAGGCCGGTCCTTTCAGACTCTGATGTCTTGGCAGGGCCCTAACCCCTCAGACTGGTGGTCCCCGCAGAGCTCTGTTCCTTCAGGTCCTCGTCCGCTAGAGACCTCAGATCCTGTGTTTCCCGAAAGCAAAGCTGTGAATCTTGCACCCCAGGAGACGACAAACTCCCTCAGATGTCTCCTTACACAGGTGCCATCCCAACCCCCTAATCAAGGGCACCTCTCTACCTTTCCCCTTTCCAACCTGCTCCCACAGTCAAGTCTTTCTTCCTCTGCCAATTCTTTCCTTTTTTTCTACTTCTGATTCAGTCTTCTTAACTTCGCTCACTATCTCAAGGCCCTGTTTCAGTTCTCAGAGTCCCCACCAAACTCACCCAAAGCACTCTCTCCACGGAGTTGCGATCCCCAACCGCTCCGTGTTTTACGTCTCACCTCAGCCGGTTCAAGCCCAAGGGCTGAGGTTCCCCCGCCTCAAGCATTCGCCCCGCCCAGAATAAGTCTTTCTACATTTAGCGCCCGAGGCCCCGCCCTCTGCAAGTCTATTGGCCATCGTTCCTCAAGAGTCCCGCCTCCGGCTTCCAGCCCACCTCCCTGCCCTGCTTCCCTTGTTTTCATTCCCTGTGTCACACGAGGCTGTGGCGAACACAAAGTGGGAGGGGCGAAATAGTGGGAGGGAAGGGGGCGGGAAGAGGGAGGAAAGTGAAAGGCACGGAGCGTCTCTCTTTCCCCCGTCTGACTCGGTTCTCGACTGCTCCCTGGCGCCGTTGTATTGTGGGATCGCGGCGCCGTGCCTGAGAAGCTCGGATCTGCAGGGCAGTGCACTAGCTAGCGCCTCCTGTCGTCTGTGAAGCTGCCTTGCCACTCCTCGGCACCCCAGCTCCCCCCCACCCCCGAATCGCCTCCTCCTCCATCCTCCAGTTCAAAATGGCGGCGGCGGCGGCAGCGGCAGCGGCGATGGCTCCTCAGGGCTGTCCGGGTTCATGCCCCAACTTCGCCGTAGTGTGCTCCTTCTTAGAGCGCTATGGGCCGCTGCTCGATCTGCCTGAGTTGCCGTTCCCTGAGCTGGAGCGGGTGCTGCAGGCGCCGCCGCGGGACGTCGGCAACGGAGAAGGTAAGCGAGGGGCCCGAACGCCCGGCGGGAAGCGGCCCTGGCACGCTTCTTCTTTCTGCTCTTCACAGACACCTCGGGCCTCCGAGGCTCTATATCCCCCTTGGGGTGCAGCTGCGCCCGGCCAGTCTTCTCTGCCCTGTCTCCCCGGGTCTCGGGCAGTGGGGAGGCGGGGCGGAGGCCCCCTAGGGCCACTCGGCCGGGCCCCGAACGGAGGTGGGGGCGTCGTGGGCTAGGTGTGGGCTGGGGGTGGGGAGGGGTCATTGTGCTGATCGGCCGCCCCTGGGAGTGCTACCCCGCGGCGGAGGCTGGTTCCCCACCCCGTCTCCCTCTCGGTGGCGGGGGAAGGGGAGAGCAGGTTCCGGCCAGCTTTGCGCTTTTCTCCTCCTCCTCCTCTCCCTTCGCTTGCTCTCCCTCCCCTCCTCCCACCATCCTCTCGACCATCTCGGGGGAGGCTGGGCTCATCTTGGGGCGCCCCCTTTCTCTTCCTCCACCTGGGTGGGCGGGGGCCAGCAGACACTTCAGCACTCCCTCCCTCTAGTGGAAACTCCCCCGAGAGAGTCGGCACTCGCCCCTTTACGTTTCTTCTCGGGGGCCAGTTTAACCCCCAAAACTCCTTCCTCCAACTAGGGAGATTTGCTCCTCCCCCGTGGGAGGAGGGGTCCTTCTCCATTCTCGGTTTGGGGGACTAAGTCGGTTCACCTCCACTTTGGAGGGTAGAGGGTTAATTTCTCCTCCCCCATAGTTTTCCTATTCCTCTCCCCCACCTCACCCCCGCATAGAAAAGCATCTCCCCACTTTTCCAATCCCTTCCCCCTTCATCTTGGCAGCAAGGCTTAGGGGAAGAAGAAGTCGCCCTCCCATTTGCAGGGTGGGGTGGGGTGGTTAGTATGTAGGCTGGAGGAGGGGCTCAGACGGAGGGGGAAACAGTTGAAGAGGTGCTTGTTGCTCATGTTTCTTTCTGGTGCCGCTGGTCTATTATTGGTGTTCGCAAGTGGTGCTCCTTCCACATAAGGCCACCGCGCGGGTGCAGGGCGCATGCTCTACCCGGCCCCATTGAAACTTCCTGCTGCTGCTGGTTCTTTTCGCTGGAGCATCTCAGCGCTGCGCCTGCTGCCTCCAGCACTCTCACTGAGCACAGACGCTCATTCCCTATTTATTTCCGATCCATGGCTTTCCTTTTCTGGCACATTTCTGCCCTCAGAGAAGGGTTTTTTATTGAGAACTCATCAGTGCCTTTATCTGGGAACAGCCATTGGCTGGAGAAGAAACGTTTTTCAAATAGGTCTTTACATTTTTTTTATTTTTTATTTTTTTGGTCCGTATTCGATAGCCAGAGTGGACTGGGTGTTGTACGAGACAGCTGTTTCTTTTCCCTCTTCAATTTTCCACGGAAATGAAGTTTCTCTTAACTATGTATTTACATGGCTAAGAAGGACCCAAGTGTGAAGTTCTTTAAAATATTACCCATAGAGAAAATGACGTTATGGTTACGAGACCCAAGTTAATACAGTAGTTATGGTGCAGGCCTCTATTTCTTACCTGCCCAGATTTCCTCTACCCATAACAAACTCTGGCATATTAAAGGCTACTTTTTTTTATATAGTATAAAATGGGAGGATTAGTATATCATATAAAGACATTATATAAAGACTTCCTGCAGAAGTTCTTTAAAAGTTAAGTTCCCCAAAATAGTTTTTATTATTAAGTTGTATTTACATTTAATTTTTAAGGAAATAGTCATTGTGAAGTCAAATGCCTTAGTAGGTTGCTTTTAGGATACATTGGGAAATGATAATAATCTATCAGAGAAATGGGGGAATTTGGGGAAAGGGAGTGCTGATAAGTTGTTTTTGGAATTTACTTGGACCAGATTGAAAGGCGGGTATAGACTTTCTGTGATGGTATGGTATTTTGGATGGTATGCAAGATTGCTTGCCTCTCCATTCCTTTTAAGTATTTTGACCACTGCATTTTGCTTATATTAATAACAAGAAAAAATATCAAAGTCAATTTAATATTTCATGTTATCCTTCTATCTAGAGTTAAAAATGGGCTACCAGCTAAGTTAAAAAATGGAGAATAATATCGGCTGAAAGATTATACCAGTGGGTTCTGCCACTGCATTGTCATTGGTATAGTTGTAACTATAATAATAGATCTTGTCATAAGGTGACCTAAGAGTAATTATTATGTTACATAGTTCAGGATACCTGGCAAATGAAGAGTCTCTGTAGGTGAAATGCCATTGGTGTACAGGGCAAAGATTTCATTTTTAGGCCTTTAATGATAGTTAACCTACTTGAAATCGTTGATAAAATAATGCTGGTCCAGCTAACAAGATTTGAACTGAGTCTTTTGGGAAGGAGTTGTGGTTAACTAGAGAGTTCTAGTTAAGGGGATAACTAGAAAGAGTTAACAGATAGACATTTTAGTGTTGAACTCTGTAATATGTAAGTTGTAGTGCAAATTACTTAACTTCTCTGGACCCTAGTTTCTTCAGTAAATTGAGATAATATCAGTATCAAATGAAATATTTCAAAAATCTTTTCATAAACCCAGTACCTACAGATATGAATGTGTTACAAGTTTTATTACAGAAGTTTGTGAGAAGACACACAAGTGTATTTGGAATTGAAATGATAAATATTTAGCATGTGAGAAGGGTTTGAGCACGTATATTGATCTATAATGATCTTGATGAAAAGTCTTTGTTATAATCAGATGAGTTTTGCTCTATATAAATTAAAGCATCCTGTGCACCCCCCCCTACCTGGGGACCTGGCCTGCAACCCAGATGTGTGCCCTGACTGGGAATCGAACTGGTGACCCTTTGCTTCTCAGGCCAGTTTTCAATCCACTGAGCCATACCAGCCAGGGCTAAATTTAAGTATTTTTAAAAGATAGTTCTTAATGCTGTTTAAAGAGTCCTAGTTAATAAAACTTGTTTTTTTCCCTAGTGTGGTTATCCCTTAAAAGGTACTTTGTAACATACACATATTCTTCTGAGTTGTTAGTTCAGTACTTTTTACCTAGTCATTTATTGTGATAAGTGTATCAACATTGTGACATCCTTTGGAGGAGACTGTAATTCACTATATTGCCACTACTTAAGCACTCTATGATTTTTCACCTAAATATTTGTTTATAAGTTTTAATTTGACATTGTGTTTTCAGCTTAGAATGTTTCTTACATCCCCACAGAATCAACTACTAAATTTGATTTTAACTAGTTCAATTTTAATGATATTATAGTAGCTGCCATTCATTGAGCGTTTACTTTGTGCAGACATCTCCTTATTCCTTACAATTATTTGGGATTGCTCTATTTCTATTTGGCAGACATAGAAGCTAAGGTTCAAGAGATTGATTCAGTTGCTTAATGCTCAAGATTATGTAGTTACAGGTAGAGTCTGATTTCCAACCCAGGTCAATCTGACTCCAAGCCACAAAATTGTATAATACCATGCTATAGGGTCACATCTCCCAGACTTCACCAAGGCACCCCTGGATATTGCCACCAGTTTTCAGAGGTGCTGCCAGTTAGTTTAAATTTTCAAGAGGGATAGAACAATACTTGATATCTTTTGGTTGCCAGGTGAACTGTTAGCTTGAGAGAGTTCATGGTTTCAAAATCAGATTGTACTGCATTCCTTCCAGTGACATATCTTTGTGAGTTTTGAGGGTTCCTGTGATAAAACACAAATACTGCATGAAAATCATTGTGGTACAGGAAATAAGCAGTGTCCAATCTGATTCCAAGGTTTGAGAAGTGTGTGTAGTGCCCAGCTGTAACACTGGGGGCACTGCACAAATTACTACTGTTCTATAAGTAGTAATTGTGGTTATTTAAGAGTAAATGTTTTTTTCAGCTGAGATAAATTTGTTTTCCAGGTGGTTACTAACAATTTCATAAGCAAAACTGTTCTTATATTTTGGCCTAGGGTTGCTATAAAAGAAAACATTACTAAAATACTGAGAGTACCATGAACCTAGAAAGCTTGGGAACCTGTGCCCTGGAGGCTATCTTTGCATTTAAGGACTAGAAGGAAAGAACTCGTGCGTCTATTTTGCCTTTATTTTGCAGGGATGAAAACCAAGTTGCGGGGATTGATTTCAAGGGTAAACTAGTTGATCATTGATGTTATTTATTTGGACTATTACTTGAAAAGTCCACTTATATGCTGAAATTATCAGCAAAAATTTTAGTTTTCTTGTTGGTACTTTTTGGACTAGGAAAATGGTATGCCATCTGAAAGTGCTGTTTTTTTTTTTTAAATTAATTATTTTAAAATCCTCATGCGAGGATATGTTTTTCTTGACTTGAGAGAGAGACAGAGAGAGAGAGGGAGGGAAGGAGGAAGGCAGAGAGAAACAGTGATATGAGAAACATTGGGGATTGTGGCCTTCAGGACCCTGACTGGGAACTGAACCCTCCACCTTTTGGTGTATGGGACAGCTCTCCAAACAGCTGGGCCACCTGGACAGGGATGGAGGCGCTGTTCCCTCCCTCCCTCACAGCTACTTCAGCTCTTCAAATTATGTGCTCTGTCTGGACTTCCTCAGCTTCCCCTTGACTGGAGGTGGATGGCCAGTAGATAAGGACACAAGTAAAATTGGTCATTAACTTTGTGAGATTACCAGCTCTCAAGGCTCTCAAGCATCTTTTCTCTCTTGCAGATGACATTCTTTTAAAGAAGAAAATATACTTTTTCATTATTTAAAGATAGTCTTTATATGGTATTGGTAGAGACATTACATACATCTAATAACAGTCTATTAAAATTAAAGTATGTATGGATAATGTGTTATGATTCCAACAGTTTATACTACAGTTGACTGAGTTATTTGTATAGTAGTAAAGAAGTTGAGTCATTAGGGTTTTTTTTAAAAGATTTTATTTTTTTAGAATAATTTTAGGTTTGATTTCTTTTTTACATTTATTAATAATTTGGGGTTTAACTCTTAAAACCAAAATGTCATGAATAAAAGAATATACTTTT